CATCTTTTAAGCAGTGGGCTTTAAGGTCCTGACTACATGCAACTATACCAAAACATACATTGCCATTAGGTTTAACCCTAGCTACCTTATGACAAAAAAATAAACTTAAATAAAATAAAAAATATAATTTCTTTACTTACCTTGCCGTTTCTCTCCAAACCTGTAATATTGATGTGGAAGCCTATTGGCCTCTCGTTACACTGTCATTTCAGCATTCTTGGACAAACTTGTCCAAACTGGCATTACCTTCCAAACAAGATTCGAATATCAGGAATTGCTTCTAATGCCCAAAACTACACATCAATTGTGAAACATTTTACTCACCTCATAAAATCTTATGTGAAAGGAATAATGATAAATATTAAAGTATGGCACACTACTTGAAACACCCATATAAATCTAAGAGGTGGTAATGTTTCTTCACTACTATTCCTACCACTGAAGGTTCGAAACCCCTTATCAAGTAATCGACAATCAGACTCGAAACACATGTGCCATATGGGAAACCATTTCAGTCATCGATGTTCTCGACCACTGACAACAACCATGGAATCATTGATCATCTATAGTCTTAACCAAATAAAACATTGCTCGTAATCAAACAAGGGTCATCTTGGTCATGCTTCCCTTTTGTTGAAACTACCCTCCCTTGAATGTTTCTAAAACTTGTTGTATCTTCACCTCGCTCCTCGATCCTAATATTGCTGGTGAATTCCTTTAGGGATGGCCTCATAAAGATTGATAATAAGGGCTGGTAGGGTACCAAACTTTAATCCTGTCACCAGGTAGAACTCCTTCTTCGAGAACTAAGCCTTCATTTTGCCTATGGTAAACCATAACTCACCCTATATGGCACCAGGTTCATTGATTCTGCGTAGTGTTAGGTTGTGCATGAGACTGGCGCAGAATAAACTCTTCTCTGATTTAACGTTCATCATATGCCCAAAGCATGTTCTCTTAAAGGCTTTCAACTTATTTACTTTGTATAGCATCTCATGTATCACATGTAGATGCAACCACTTACAATAGATGTTAATGCCAAAGTTAAACCCCCACCAGTGCCTCAGCATGTAAAACAAAGATTCCACATTACCCTACTCTGTTTCTGTGCTAGCCATTTGTAACATAAAATAGATAACATTTCTATTTTAGTTAATACGATCATTGCGGATTAAAAAAACAAGAGGACTTTTTGAGAAATTAAGCTCCTTATAAGCTCACTCCAAAAATGATCCTCATGATAATTTTAATTGTTTTTAGACAACTTTGAAACAAAATAATTAATGCATGTGTCAAGCGTAGATTATTAAGTAAACCAACATATACATATTAAAGTATTACAATTGACCCAAAAAAATATAAAATGAACACAATGTCAGTCATGCAATGTCAAACAGATATATTTCATGCAGTTATAACACTCGCACTATTTCATTCAAAAAATAGTCATGCAATGCCTTATCAATAAGTCAAGCAATTACTAACATTACATCACATAATAATCTATCAATAAGTCACGTAATGCTAATAACAACTAAACCAACTATGCACACACTAAGTGATGCCATGCCTAAACCATATTCATGCAATAACCTATCAATCATTCATGCAATGACTTATCAACCACTCACGCAATGACATACGAACCAATCACGCAATGTTAAACCCTAAACGTAGTGTCTAATGTAATCACGCACACCCTAAGTGACACCATGCCAAAATCCAGTCATACATAAGGTGCCAAACATGTACGCAAGCCCTCAGTCACGCAATACCTAAACCCTAAACCCAATTCCTATCAAAGGGTGATAATGCATACATATCAACCAGTCACACATGCCCTGTCACCTTTCGACCAAAAACACCAATAATACCAACTTCATGTTTATATTCAACAATTTCAAACAACAAGAATATCAATATGAATAAGCAATCTGCATACGTTTATGCTCAAAAACCATAAATGAAAAACATGAAGAATAGCAATATTCCTAAAATCATTTCTCCACATGGTTCAAAATAAAATAATAATATATTATACCTTTCTCTGCATAATGTAACCTCTCACTGCTCAATTCGTGAACTACCTTTATGCAAATATAACCACTCCAAAATGCTTCTACCATTGTGAAAAATGCTTGAAAGTTGAACTGACAAGGAATGCTTTCTACAAAATTCTTTGTATGGAGATGTACGATTTGGCAATAAGAACTAAGGAGTTACACATCTTGTAAACATACTTGACCCGTTAATAGGTTTCAAGTTAAGGCATGGAGCCAAATAAATGGGTCAGTTTCATTAAGGGCAATTTTATCTTAATTTTAATTGTCCTGGCTAAAACCAGTTAAAACTATCAAGAGATCTATTTTCAAAAACACCATATGCATAAGGCCCATTTATAAAAAGAACTCTAATTTGCTTCTATTAGAAAACATTGTATCAACAGCAAATGGTGGATTGCTTTCCATTCATACTCCCTTCCATCACTAATGCCATCATACCCATCAACTGCTTATGCCAACTAGATCAATTACACCTTCAAAATTTTCATGTATTTTTAAAACTTTTAGATAATATTTTTAAAATTTTCAAATCTTTTGAGTATAATCTTTAAAATTTTCTATTTCAATTTTTTAAACCTCCAGTAATAATATGTTTAAAACCATGCTGTAACCAATTTTTAAATCATCCAAATTACCATTATAAGTCTTTAGATAACAATTTTCACAACTTCCTAACAACAATTTAAAAACTTTTAGGTAATTGTTTTAAAATCTCCAAGTAACCCTTTCTAAAGCCTTCAGGTAAGTATTTTTAAACCTCTATGTAAAGATTTTCAAAATCGAGTAATCATTTCAAACTTTCTAAGTACTAATTTGAATTAACTAATTTTTAAAAGCATTTAGGTAACTATTTTCAAAATTTTTAAGCAACTATTTTTAAAGGTTAAATGTTCAAATTGGAACTAAATGTTTGGCCAAACATTTTTAAAAGCATTGGTATTTTTTCAATTAAAAGCCAAACATTTCAATTGTAACAGTTAAGGACCAAACATTTTTATTTTTTACAATATAGGGTTAAGTTAACTAATGGATGAAGCGCATATCACATGTAATAAAAAATCGCTTGAGCTAATGATATGGCAGTTGACTTGGCATGTTATACAAACGGCATCATTTTGATCTAAATCTTATGCTTAATTTTCCCTCAATGTCACCTATTTTGCTTCATCTCCTTTCTGAACTAGCTCTTCTTTCCTCAAAGATTAGTACGTGCATGATCATTGATAAGGCAATACCAACTCATGATATCAAACATTGTGGAATGTGTTAGCTCGTGTCTGAAGCGTGCAAGACAAATGTCAATCTTCATTCTTATCAAATTCAATAGAGACATGTTTCAACGTTGTTTCCATAAGTGACACGATTAGGGTGTCAACGTTTCCATACCTCGCAGGCCTTAGGCTACTTCTCAATTGAGCCAAGAATTTAATGAAGTACATCGCTTTACAGTTAAACCTATCAATCGAGTGGATGTTTGCATATAAAGTATTAGCTATTTTCATTAGATATTAACTTATTAATGATTTTTATGATTTTTGGATGTTTGTGAACTTCTTCTCAAAATATGCAAATATGTGAGAGGTCAGACTTATAAAATGTGTTGTTAAACGCCATGGTCGAAAAAGTTGTTCCATAGCACAACAAAAAAATGATGTTATTTCATGTCATTTTCTAAATATTTATTACGCAGCATGCTAAGAAATATTATTGTTACTTTTTGTGAAAAAGAATACTATTAATGTCATGTTGAAAAATGTAGTGTTACACTCCATGTTTTAAAATTTGATTGTTACATGTTATGTTGGAAATATTTGTTACAAACCAGGTTGAAAGTGTAATTGTTGTATGTCATGCTAAAAATTTAATTGTTGCATGTTATGTTGAAAAATATAATTGTTACATGTCATGTTAAAAATTTAGTCATTTTCCACTATATTGAAAAATATAGTTATTACATGCCAAGTTAAAAATTTAGTTGTTACACAATATATAGAAAAATGTAGTTGTTACACGTTATTTTAAAATTTTAGTTATTACACATTATGTTGAAAAATGTAGTTGTTATGATGAAAAAGTTGTTTAGCAAATGGAAACGGGAACCCACAAACAAGCACTGCTTGATAAGCTGACGGTGACAAATACCCAACTAGACTGTAGGACGATAGAGAAGGAAAATGATTGGAAAAAGGTGGATTAGAGAGGAAATGAGGCAAAGTGTCGATAATTTGGGTCGATAATGAGAAAACTAAAATGATGGGAAAACGAAATAGTGAGAAATTTTAAACGATGGGGGTAAACAAATAGGGAAAAACAAAATTATTTTTGCCTAGACAAAACAACGTTGTTTACCAAAAATCCAATTCACCTGTTACGTCAAAAGTAAAAATCTAAGCCAGTATCCATGTCATACGCGTGTTCTACACATGTTAAACACCTATCGCCTTAGCCTTTAATGGTAAGAAATTAAAATGTTTGACTTTTGATTATTACAATTGAAATGTTTGATTCTAAATTGTCAAAAACTTAAAAGTTTTGACTTCAAATTGAGCATTTAGTTATTTTTAAAATTTTAAGAGTATTTTTTTAATATTTTTTTAAAGACAAGAATTCTCATAAGAAGAAAATTTTTAAAATAATTTTAAGTTGTAAGCATCGTAGGATGATTATTTTTCAAAAATTTTAAAATTATAAAACGTGAAAACAAGCATTTGTTAAAAATTTTAAAGTTGTGAAGGCTGGTAAATCTTAAAAGCATAATTGAAAAAATATATATAAGTTGGATGTTATGAAAATGGGCACATGACTGTCCGGCCCAATGCAAAGTACAAGACACACCAAATCAGCAGAACACGTGTCACTATAAAACCTTATTTTGGAATAATTTTCATTTATGCGAAGGAGCGATATTTTGTTTATATCTTTATATTTATTCTAAATTTCAGTCGCGCGTTGGGCCGGGGGCAAATGTCATAATTTGAATGATTTGGAAGGTTTAGGGTTTCTCACTTTTTCTGTCTTCCTCTCCTCCTTTGTGTTTAATCGATCAAATCAAGCAAAGGATCTGCTTAATCCGAAGCGGCAATGGCGAACCGAACAGACCCTGCTGCCACGAGCATAAGGGGAACGAACCCACAGAACCTGGTGGAGAAGATAGTTCGCTCCAAGATATACCAGAACACCTACTGGAAGGAGCAGTGTTTCGGGTTGACGGCGGAGACGCTGGTCGACAAGGCCATGGAGCTCGACCATATCGGGGGCACTTACGGCGGCAATCGAAAACCCACTCCTTTCATGTGCCTCGTCATGAAAATGCTCCAAATTCAACCCGAGAAAGACATTGTCGTCGAATTCATTAAAAACGATGACTACAAGTAAGAAAATTGCCTTCTCTTTGTCTTTTTTCTTTTCTTTTTCTTTCATTTTCACCTAAAATAAACTAAAACAAAATAATTCGATTTAATTCTCTTGGTAAACGAATTACAGATATGTGAGGATTTTGGGAGCTTTTTATCTGCGTCTTACGGGGACTGATACCGATGTTTATCGTTATTTAGAGCCTTTATACAACGATTATCGAAAATTAAGGCAGAAATCGCCTGATGGAAGTAAGTTTTTTGTCTTTTTTTGGTTTTCTTTTTGGGGGTTAATGTATGGATAGATTTATTTTTATTGGTGCCATTAAGTGTCTATCATGGATGAATCAGATTTTAGCTTGACACATGTGGATGAGGTTATTGATGAACTTCTGACTAGAGATTATTCTTGCGATATTGCTCTGCCACGTATTAAGAAAAGGTAAGGTTTTTTCTGGTAGTTATATATAAATTTTTCTGGTAATTTGCTTGATGTTATAAATTTGAATTAGCTAAATTTAATTGTATTTGTCCTATCGAATATGTAACTTGCTTTGAAGATGCTTCCTTTAATTTTTGCTTTTGCTACTTGTTTTCTAATATTTGCTTTTGCTTCCTCAAACGTTGCATAACCGTTTTTGATTAAAATGAGCTAATGCTTGAAATCTAACATACATTCAAACATAATTGTTCCACATAAACTGAATTCATGCATTTTGATTTTTAATTATTATTTTTTCAAAAGTATTTTACTTTTGTCTCCAAACTTGTTATTTCTTTTTTGCTTCTAGAAGTAAAAAGAGAGTATCCACCTGCTTGTGATTTGACAGATGGACTCTTGAATCACTTGGTGCTTTGGATCCAAGAAAAAGTGTGTTGGAAGATGATTTTGAGGAAGAGGAAGAGAAAGAGGAGAATGAGCAAGATGGTTTAGAAGATGAGCCTACTCATGAAAAGGTTTGTAGTATTTTTTTCCTTATAGATGGACTACTGTTTTATTTAATGTTGCTGTGATTTTTTGTTTATTGATAGAATTCTTGTTTTTTGATAGGACTACTATCGAGCTCGAAGTCCTGCAAGGGAGAGAGAAAGAGATAGAAGACATGGCAGTCTTAGATACAGGTATATTTCACCAATTTTTTTTTGTTTGTCCTCCATTTATCAACTTCTTGCACTATTCATGAGGATCCCTCTGGGTTAGGGTATCAAAATGGAAGGGCTTGAAAACCTTTTTGGAGCTCTATCATTTCTTTTATGATGTAGTTTTATGTTTGAAATTAAAACAAAAAGTAAATTACATCCATGATCCTTAAAGTTTGGATCACATAACATTTTGATCCCTATAGCTTAAAAAATCACTTGTTGGACCTTGTACTTCTAATGTTCTAGCGAAATGGTCCTTCTATTAGTTTCTCCATTAATCTTTTCACTGAATGCCAGTTTTCGACACGTATAAGCTGATGTGTCAATTGGCATGTATGAAAAAGGCCTAGTTGGAAAAATCCCTAATTTTGTTTAGGACATGGAATGTAGTTTCAAATTTTGGACAATTTTGAGTTTGTGAGTTTATTTCTGGGGTACTTTTAGTATTTCAAATGGGTTTAGGGAGTGTTTTTGACAACTAAGTGTTTTGTTTTTGAAAATTTTCAAGGAGAGGAGGGATTTTTTAGAAGAGAAAATGAGGAGAGAGTGAGGAGAGATGGGAGTTTGGATGTCAGACTACCCCTCAAGGCACTAGACGAGCGATACAAGGTGCCAAATTTGGCCCCTTAAGCTAGATTGGGTGGTGTGGTGTAGACATAGAAATAATAAAATGAAAATCAAAACAATGAAAGCAAACTAGTACAGTGGCTTAAATTGATGTAAAATCGAAGTAGGAAAAAAATAACTAGGGTTTAAGGTTATAGAATCTTTAATAGAAAAGCATTCTAATATACAACCTTTAATAGCAAAATATGCTAATATAAGGTTGTCTAATATGTCTAAATGACTATTTATACTTACAACAGCTTTCAATCCTAGTGCTTGGATTCTTTGTGAGCTGTTAGACAAATGTACTGTTTCACTTACACCCCTAAACTTTAAAGCCTTGAAGTCTTTCAATTTTTAGTTCCAACTTGAAAGGTTGTTTTTTATCTCTATATAAGCTTGTGTTTGGCTTGGCCCAGTTAACTTTGTTGATTCCTATGAAATAATTGATTAAAAATAATGGATCATATTTTGTTTAGGAAAAGAATAATAAATAAAGAGATGAAAAAAAGGGGAAAATAATGATGCTTTATTTTTTTGTGGGATCGATTCCGCAAGAAGGGGAGGGCAATATTTCTAAGGTTTATGGGACAATCCTAAAAAGAGGAAAAAGCAAATGAAAAATGTTTTACGTCTTTCTTGTGCATTAGACATGTTACGTTGATCAACATAATTTTTTCCGTTGACTTGTAAAATATTCTACATTTATAAAAGTTTTTCCTTTCCAAACAAGAAAAAAGCTTAAAAAACTTTTTCAGAAAAACTTTTCAGTGTTACCAAAATGGAGCCTTAATGAAATTAGATTTTTATCTATACATCAAATAACCTTTTTTTACTATTAGGTTCTATTTGGTAAGGCTGAAAGGTTTTTTCAAAAAAGTTTTTTACTCAGTTCCCTTGTTTGGAAGAGAATTTTTGCTAATGTAAAACATTTTACGAATCAATGAAAATAATTACGTTGGCTCGCGTAAAATGTCTTACGCTCAAGAAGGACATAATACATTTTCTGTTTGCTTTTCCCTCTCTTGGATTGATCTCATAAACCATGGGATGGATCCCACTTTGAAAAATATTGCCCTTCCTTCGTTGTGGGATCAATCTCACAAAGCAACATCTTAAAGATTGTAGTACCTTATTAACCCTTTTTATTTATTTATTTATTTCTTATCATATTGTTTTACTAGTTAGTTTGTTAAGTAAAAAAAATTATAAATTGAAAATTAAAAAAAAATGAGAGATTTTTTATATAAAATGTTTTTTTAATTGACTTCAATTATTTTGTATTATTTTAAAGATTGTAGTATCATAATAAAAAAAATTATAGTGATATCATCCTTATGAAATAATTGAATTAAAATAATAAATGATTCTTTGTTGAGAAAAAGAATAATAAATAAAAAGATGAAAAAGAAAAGAAAATAATGATGTTTTATTGTTTTATTGCTTTCCGGGATTGATTCCACAAGAAGGGGACGATAATATTTTCTAAGGTTTATGGGATTGATCCCAAAGAGAGGAGAAGGCAGATGAAAAATGTTTTACGCCCTTCTCAGGCAAAAGATATTTTATATTGGTTAACGTAATTTTTTCTGTCTACTTGTAAAATATTTTATATTCGTAAATTTTTTTTCCCTTTTAAACAGGAAAAAAGCTTGAAAACAAATTTTTGAAAAAAATTTTCAAGTTTACCAAATGAAGCCTTAATGAAAATATTTTCTTATCTATACATCACATAAATTTATTACTCTAAGGATCCATTTGGCAAGGTTGAAAGTTTTTTCAGAAAAAATTTTAATCATTTCCTTCATTTAGAAGAGAGAATTTTTACAAATGTAAAATATTTTACAATTCAACGGAAATAATTGCATTGACTCATCTACAATGTTATACATGTTGAAGAAGCGTGTAAGACAATTTTCATTTACCTTTTCTTCTCTCTAGGATCGATCTCTTAAATTTTGGAATTGATCTCACGTGGAAAGTGTTGCCCCCCTTTCCTAATGGGATCGATCTCATAAATCAATAAAGTAATAAAAACATCATTATTCGTTTTATGTCTTTATTTATTATTCTTTTTCCAACAATATTTTTATTTTATTATTTTATAGGAATCTTATTACTATAAGATATTAAGATATTGCAATTCTTAATATAATACAAAATAATTGAGATTAATTTAAGAAACAATCTTATGTAAAATACAAAATAAATTTTTCACACATGAAAATCTCTTCTTTCTTTTAATTTTCAATTTATGATTTATTTTCTTAACAAACTAACTAATATAAAAATATGATGAGAAATAAATAAATAAATAAGATTAAATATTATTCATATATAATATTTTTAATATTAAAAAAATGTTTGGATGTCTTGCATAGTTAATGAATGTTAATGTTTTTGTGGTGTTATGATAGAAAATTATTGAAGATGGAAAATTTTTTGAAGATGAGATATGATAGAAAATATCTTCTATAGAATTGTCCAGACAACAGAAAATATTTTTGGGAGTTTATCCAAACAAAAGAAAATAATAGATTTTCCAGTAAAGTATTTTACACATATAAGATTTTTCTTCAACAAGTTATTTGTTGATTACCAAACTGAACCTTGATTAATAGTGTTATTATTGAGAATTTAGTCAACAAGAATTAATGAAAATAGTAACTTAGAGAAATAATTAAAAGTGGCCCGTTTTCATCCAACGGAAGTTTTGCTCTCGTTGGTATGTTTTTTATATATCATAGATATTATAGATCAGTGGAAGCTGTTGTTTGACATACTCCTATTTATGAAGGCAAAAGTGTTCCAATGTCATGTTTCCCTCGTGGCATTTAAAGCCATGGATGGCCTAAAACAGCTTCCTATAGAAACATCTTGTGATCCTGCCAGGTTTCTCTGCACTGACAGTGTGCAGTGAGAAGTATGATGGATCAGACAATTTAGCATCAGGTCCAGTTTTTAGCGTGGTGATTACAATTTTATTGTGTCCTCTTATTGATTTTGTTAAACTACTTTGAATATTGGTTGCTCCAAGGTGATGTTTTTAGTTATTGTGTGAAACGTGTTCTTAAAATTAAGAAATTGTTCTCTTGCTTTCCAAAAGCTAGCATGAGAGATTGTAACCAAATGCAACGAACATGTGTTTTGAGGGTTATCATGTAACTAATATTTCAAGTTTTACACCTTCAGGAAGTATCTTTGTGTAACTAACATGGCAAGGTTCAGCTCAGTGTTTGCAGCAAATTCTGATTGGAACACCTTTATTGTGATGTATTTATTTTTCTAAACATTGATTATTCAATATGAAATTATAGACTGATTTTCAGGGTTAGGAAGTTCATCTTTGTTTCTTTTCCTTTTCACAGGGATCGGGATTATGACAAGGATAGAGACTATGATCGAGATCGAGGACGTGGCCGAGATAGAGATAGGGATAGGGAGAGGGACAGAGACAGAGACAGGGATAGGGACCGTTATCGCCCGAGAGACGAGAAGGAATATGGACGTGAGAGGGAGCGAGATAGAGAGAGGGAAGGTAGGGAGCGTGACAGGCGAGACAAGGATCGTAGCAGACGAAGGAGCCGAAGTAGGAGCAGGGACCGCAAGAGACATGCTCGTGGCAGCACTAGTCCTAGAAGGCATGAACCAGAGGATGGTAGTACTCGGGAAGAAACAAAGAAGGAAAAGAAGGAAAAGAGGGAAAAGAAGGAAAAGAAGGATGATGGAACTGACCATCCAGATCCAGAGATTGCTGAGGCCAACAGGATCCGAGCATCGCTTGGGTTGAAACCCTTGAAGTTATAAGCATGTGAGATTTTATGTGCTGTTAATATAGTATGAAAGCACAGTGGCATATTCGGCCAGATAGTAGGTGGTTATTGTTGTGCCTCTTTCGTTTTTTCCGGTAGATATTGCACGTAGAAATTATGGAATGAAGCGGATGGAAATTTTAGCCGTCTATTTTGTTGATACCTTCACCGTCTAAGGAAATGAGTAAATGAGTGACAATCACTGATGTAGAAGCTTTTAATCGTAATCCTTTTGGCATGGTTTCTAATGTCTTAATGCCAATCTGTAAGCTCTTTATGGTTGGAATGAAGGGCTCGTTTTGTATCATTCAACAGAATAATTGATGAATACAGGGACTTGATCTGTGTTATTAGAGTTGGCTGCATGGCTGAGCTGCCGGTGGCTTAATTTGGGATGATGATGGTCAATGCGCGACAAGTTTTTTCATTAATAAAAGACTTACCAAGGCTGAGCTTTGGGGTGTTAGGGAGACTCTGCTTCTTGCACCCATCTAAAACACAGTTCAAGAGAAAAATTGCATCAGTGGATTTAAGTCAACATGCATCAAGTCTCTTACAAGTTCAATTATTATACTCGTTCAACTTCGCTTCATTATTATTTTAACTCAAATCATGGATGGTACGTTATCATAAAGTACAATAACACCCAGTCGAAAGGCTAATAACCCATTGTACTTAGCATTGACTTCTAAGGCCGTACAACATTGTCATTGTGCACATTGATCACCACGCTTAGTCTTGACTGCTCTTTTTGTGAAGTTAGGGGCTGCAGGGCTATTTTTATTTTATAATAAATAAGTTTTTAAAATTAATATTTAATTAATTACTATTAATCAAAATGTTATTTTTTTTTACACTCAAGTGGCGTTGATATAATATTAACATGTCTCATTATCATAACAAATCAATATATCATATTATCATTTAATGTGATATGTTAATATTATGTAATATAAATATTTTTTTATATATAATAAATTTTTAATTTCGAACTTGACTCTTTTCAATTATTTTTTATTACGTCCTTAATCATTATTTGAAAATATAAAATCTTTAGATCATGTATGGATACGATACATGTTGATGAAGACGAGGATAGGCATATTAAAAAATTATAAGTGGATGGAGCCAGAGTTGGTTGGTTTCAAAGTATCAACAACTACAACCCTTAAAGTTGGATTTCTTTGCTTTAATTTATAATAATGTGTTTGCTTCACTTTTAATTTTTTTGTTTTAGCTTCTTAGGGTAATTAAGAACATAAGACTATACAGAATAGATATTCTCATTATTTATAATATTATATTGTACAATATTTTATATTTATTCAAAAATAGAGACTGATCAACATAAAATAAAATGCTGTTAGATGATACCACTGAAGTATTAAAAATTCTTATTAATTATATTGTTTATGTTAGAGTTTTATGTAATTAATGATCTTATTGAATACATTACATTTTTTTCAATTTCGTAAAAAGTGAGATAAAAACTTCGAGTATATTTAGTTTACAAAATGAAATAGAGAAGAAATAGAACAACTACTCGATAAGAATAGAATTAGAGAGAAATAATCATTATATAGTTTCGTTTATAAAAATAAAATAAAATAAAAATTATTTTTATTATTATTTATTTTAATGATTAATGGGCATGAATAGTTTTTAAAATAATTAAATATTAAGTAGTAAATGATAAAAATATTTTTTATTAAAATTAAAGAATTTATTTTATTAAAAGATAAAAATAGTCTAATGATAGATAATAAAATCAAAATACCTTTTACTATATATTTATCTCTTGAAAATGAAGTAAAACATTCAGGGCTTTTCTGGCGCAGCACCTTTGGGAGCATTACCCTTGCCTTGTGTCTCCTCTGCTTAGGCCGTCAGTTTTGCTTTCTTGGCCTTTTTCTCATCCCTAGTTTTAAGGTGTCAACAATTGCAATTGTTAACATTTGACTTCTTTTCCTTCCTTTAATTTATAATATTGTGTTTGCTTCACTTTTAATTCTATTAAATTCTATTATTATTCTATTTTATTTTTATTAAATTAAATTCTATTAAATCCATTTAATTAAATTACCTTACCATTTAAATTATTAAATTCTATTCGATTTTAATATTAAATTTTTTTGGGTTTTAGCTTCTTGGGCTAATTAAAAACATAAGACTATATAGAATAGATATTCTCATTATTTATAACATTGTATTGTACAATACTTTATCTTTGTTCAAAAACAGAGGCAGATCAATGTAGAGTGGAGCGGTATTAGATGACATCACTGAAATACCAAAAATTCCTATTAATTATATTATTTATATTAGAATTTTATGTAATTAATGATATTAATAAATCTATTAATTTTTTTTATAATTTTGTAAGAAATAGAGTCAAAAACTTCAAATCAAAATAAATTTAATTATAACATATTCAAAAAAACTTTTAAATCCGTCCCTATCCAAAAAAATGAAACACAAGGAAAAGAACCCATGGATGTTGAATGCAGCACATGCTAATTGGCAAAGGCTCTCATATTTTCCTCCTACATTGTCCCTGGAAAATGAGGGTGCTAAGCTAAGGCACGTAGGGTAGCCTTTAGAGAGAATCTTGAATAGAACAGAGCACTTGGTTTATAATAACCATTGATGGACAAACTCTTACCCCAACCATGGAAAGTCCGAGTTTGAACGGTCCAAATTCATTGGCAAGTCCAAGTTTGCCAAAGAAAAAGGGGGTCATGATACTGAAAGTGACTTCCAACCCAGATAAAGTACACGAGTGGTTGGGAGAGCAAGCAACTGTGGAAAATTCCAGAGTACAAATAAAAGAGAGTGCATCAATTGGATGGTTATAATATAAGCCAACTTGGTTAATCATGTATAAAAATATGAATTTATTCCAGCCAAATGTCTTCTTTCCTTTCTAATGAAAGGACTTTTGGTCAATATATGCTTTTCCTATTTTGATATATATTAATATAACTATCTTTCTTTCATGATATTATTCCCCTTTTTGACTATAATGCTCATCTATTTTGCCATGGAACAAATTCTTTCCAACTTAATGTTAGTGACCCAAACCAAAGAGATTCTTCATTCTATTTTTAAATTATTATTTTAAATATATTTTATTATTAATATTCATAAGATTAATTTAAATTGTAAATATGTAAGAATTCTAATTTTATTGAATGAAAATATTTTTAAAAAAGTTTTAATAGTTCTTTGTATCTAAATGAGATTTACTATGGTTGTAAGATATTTGTAATTGGATTGTTTGTCTTAGAACATGATAAAAATTATGCTCAATATTAATATCATATACTAATGGATGATGGGTCAATGATGAACAAACACCAACTTCTTTTAAAAGCTATTATACTCCAAAATGGGTTTCCACCGAAATGGAACCATATGAGATATGGCTAAAACCGAACTTGTCTCACTTCCTAGAATGACTTTGATACCACCTTCTAAGCAATAGTGTTTTTTCTCAAAAACAAGTTATTGTCTAGAAAAAAATAATGGGAGTAATACAATGCTTGAATGGTTTAAGAGCCACAACCCTTTTGAGCACAAAGCCTATGACTAGTGCACCAAATGTGTGGTCGAAAGCTTACAATACACCACAACTTAAAAAATTAAGATAAAATCAAGATTCAAAAATATAATTTTTTATGAAGAAAGAATTGTCCACTTTTATATATAATCTGGTTTTTGAATATCTAATTTTTTAATTTTTTTTATATTTAAATACTTAAGATATTCCAAATTCATTGGGAGTAGGATTGTTTCATCCTCACCTAACAATCAACTCTAATCGCCTCTTGGGTAAATTATCCATTGGCAACTAAAATTCTTTTACTTTTCTATGCTAGCTACCCATATTTCAAAATTTACATTCTAATAATTAATGTTAAAAAACTATACATTTCTTAATTATTTGTCATTATAACATGGTTTGAAATAGAAAAAAAAAACAAAGCAAAATTCAACAAAAAGTTTTTCAACATTAGAGTTTTTCAACAATTCTATTTTGATCACCTACCTTAAAAATAAAGTTTTATATTTAATATATTATTGGTGCATAAATTTTATATACTACTAGTGAATCAAACATTATCAGTTTGTTAATAAATAAAATTAAAAGTAGAAAAACCTCAAAAATAAATACTTACGATTTTAAAAATATTTATTTTAATGGACTCTTAAGCTTTTATCGTTATATATTTATAAAATGATACGTTTGTGATAAAGTGATAATGTATAGATATTATATATTAATAATATATTAAATATAAACTCTAAAATACAAAATATACTCTTTTCTCCTTTTTTTTTTCTCTAAAAGACAAGTAAAATTATATATATATATATATTTATAATTTTCCTTTTATTCCTTTTATGAAATCCATTTTTGGGTGGTTTGCTTTTGCCCTTTTGTCCTCTTATATCTTTAGTTATCCGATTATGTTTTCCTTCTTTTTGTCTTTCCTCTCGGACTGCCCTACGTGTCAACATCACATAATTTGATGAAGAACCTTTTTGGTCTCACCAACCCTAAACAGTAAACAAAGGAAAATCAAAGTTCACTTCCCATATCCCACCTGAGAGAGAGTGAAATTTTACAAATGAAATTTGACTATTTTATTATTTAGCTCAAGCATTTTCACTCATTTATTTTATTTTATTATGATTTAATTTAATATATTTTAAATCAAATTTAATATTTTTAATTGAATTTTAATTTTGAGTTTTCTAATTTAACGAATTTCTAATATGATAATATATCTGTCAAGATCTTACGTTAATACGAGATAAGATATGTTTTAAATTTATAGTTTATAACAAGTAATATCAAAGTCGATTAAACCTGTATTAATATGGATTTTTTTTCTTTATTCATAAAAGAGTAAATTTGTACAATTGGATTGTAAAATGTCAAAGATTTCACATTAATAAAAAATTAAATAACCTTTGAATTTATAAATAAGAGTATTTATTTACATGATAAATATAAATGTGAGTCCACGACATATGATTCGACACTACTTAATTATACCATCATGCAATTGGCTTAATAGGGTGACAAACTTGGGAGCCTCAATGTTAAAATTTTATTAGTAGTTTTGCTTTACAGAATAGATAAAAATAACATAAAATGATTATTTTGTATGAATAGAATATAATGAAAATATAATAGAATAGTTATTACATAATTTGATACAATAAAAAATAATACATGAATAATTATTATAACTTATTACATATTTAGTTAATAAAAATAACCTTAAAATAAAAAAAAATCAAATGACAAAATATCTTTTATTATAATAACATTTATTTCATAAAT